GGAAAAAAAAGATAAAAATCTGGAAGCGGTTTGCTTAAAAATTATTCAAAATTGAAGCTGAAAAAAGAGTTTTGCAGAATTTTAAATCGAGCAAAGCAACGTACGTGGAAAGATTGCTCATCTTATAAAGAATTGGCGAATTCCACAACAGATAGTGCTTTTGTAAGTTTTCTATTATTCTTTCGTCAACGAGCTTCAGTTCTCGTCCAATAATCCAAAAAATGCGATTTTTTTTAAAATCTGATTTCAAAAATGCCGTATTGTTACTCACACTTGTAGGAAAGGCAGCAAGATTTCATCGAAATACATCCGTTGAATTTCTTTTTTTTTTCCACCGATGCTAACTGCAGTTAATATGTTTGTACAAATATCGATGTTTAGGGACAGCTGGAGAAGAAATTATTCGAAATTCGTACAAATTTAGCGATCGAGCTCGACTGTGGTGCACACATCATTGCATCCAATAAATGCATTCAGCAACTCGCAATGATTCGGCCATCGAGGTCTATTCAAAAAAATTTTTTTTAGTTTTTTTTTTGAAAAGCGAACAAAGTCAATTTTTTAAAAAAAAAATTATCCGTGTACAAAATTATTGTAAGTTTTCCTTATTTTTTATTGAGAACTGTTTTTTTTTTTCATTCTTATTTGTGTTTTTGCAGCGTGAAAAATTTGTACATGATTGGTGAGATGACGGAAGAGAGGCAACGCAGATTTGGCCAAAAACTTGTAGATGCAATTGTGGAGTTTTGTGTTGCACAGGATATTCCCATGAACTGTGTGACCGACCCAACGGTACTTTCTCTTTTTTGATTACTCACAAATGATGAAAATATTTGATGAAAATCGAGTAGATTTCTTTTTGATACTCAGCACAGTTGGGAAAGTTGTCAGGTAGAATTGAGAGTTGACGAGGTCCAGTTGTGGTAACGGTAAGAAATGTATACGATTTAATGGACCGAAAAATTTCTTTTCAATTTTTTAGAGAATTTTTTGTAAAAATAATTTTTAAAAAATTTGAAAATTATAATTCTTTTCCACATTCTAAGTAGTGCAAAGGCAGACTTTTTCTTTTTTTTCTTTTTTTTTTCTTTCTTTAAATTACTTTCTCTTTAACTACTACTAAGTTTCAAGTGCAAACGGCAGGTGGAGACTCGAATTGGCTAAATTTGTGTAATATGAATAGCACGCCCGAGTTGTGCTTAAATACATCTTATATAAAGGCTCAGGATTATTGAAAGCTCACAATTTTTACAACGAAGTTTTTGAACATATATGTAGATTTGAATATTACAACCTATGGTTGTTTTTTTTACGATTTTTGGTATTTATGATAAGTATTTATCAGCAGCAGTCGATATTAGGAGAAACTGTCAGTAGTTTGGGAAGGATGATGCGGCTTGATCGGCTGTTAATTAAGCATTTTTTATTTTGTTTAGGGCCCTTCTCTCATTTGATTTCATATAGTTGGTTCAAACGGATCCTTCCACCGCACTGCCGAACAATCCTGGCTGTTTCTAATGCCAATAGCTTCAAAGTTAGAACTGGATCTGAATAAGCCTTTAAAAAACTTTTTTTTTCCGAAAAATTAGTTCTTATGGTTTATCATAACGTGAATATTCAGATATCGAAACAGGAATTTATTCAATTTAATAAAAACCATTTTAAAAAAGCTATTTCTCTCAGCAATAAGGGGTACGTATATTACGATATGAAAGTGAACTGAAGTGGAAAATGACGAATGACGAATTCGAATCATTATACTGTTTCAGCTTCCCAAAGAAATAGTCGAAATGATGAGCAGTTTAAGTGAAATTCATGCGGAGACATATCGGAATCATATAAAAGGGAAGCTATCTTTGGTATGCTTTTGCTTTGCTTTTATTGCGATAATTGGCGGATTCCGGGGGAGCTCAGGAAGCAGCTGTTTTGCTGTACAAAAGTTTGTTCGGCACCCCGTGCCGTTCCTCCTCTCCCCTCCCTTCCCTCTCCACCCCCCCCCCTCCCCGTCCCTCTCCACACCCTGAGAGCCCTGTCACTCTCAATTTAGTGTCCACCAGCAAGGGGGGGGGGGTTGGTTGGTGGGGGAAAAAGGGGCGTAGTGACGAAGGAAGAAGGGGAGGTGGAAAATCACTCCCTCCACCTGGATCCGACTATTTCGATAATTCGTCAGAATAAGCTGGGAAAGCTTTTTTTTTGCTATCATTCAAACTATTGATGAATGCCTCCACCGTTTTACAGGGCGAAATGTGTGGGTTGAGGTTTTCTGATTGAGTTTTGAGTCCAAAAGACTGGCCGCATCCGTATGATTACATTTAGGTGTCCGAGTGGGTACTAGTGACATTAGGATCCACTGGAACTAACGAAATTCTCAATTTTCGTATAATATTCGTGCCGGTACCATTCAATAATCCGCTTTGTATCCTCTTTTTTTTGCTCGGTTTAGCATATTCAGTACAGTTGAATAGACGTAAAAGTTTTTTATTTGCTTTCTCGGCATAAAAATTGTATGATGTGTTTTTAATTACAGAGGATATCCAAAAATATGGATAAGGCCAGTTGTTTTGTCCGCTGCTTCAAATTTAGAATTTTTTTTTGGTGCA